GGAGACCCCGGCTTCCCATATAAACCATACGTCTCCGATCCCAGAGTCCCCGGCAGGAAGTGGTTAATATTAGTTTCACTAGCTCGGTCAAGTTAGCCACCAACTTTTTTAAGAAGCAACGATGACTTACTTGTTGTCCCGAAGCCCCCTAGCCCACCGAGTGTTGATGGTTTACTAGTCGCACCACCAAATAGTGAGGTCCCAGCGTTGGCAGTGCCAAATCCTGTCCCTAATCCACCGCCAAGCCCTGTGCCAAGCCCACCAAAGCCTGTTGTGGTTCCCTTGTTCCCAAATAGACTGGTGGACTGGCTGGTACCAGAGCCAAAGCCACCTGGAGAATGCATGGGAAACAAGTGACAGAGGTTGGTTACTAGACACAGCAATAATATTATAATTCATATCCTCTGGGATCTGGACCTGAGCTCTAAAACAAACCTTTTGAATTTAATTTACTGAGCAGTTAACTATCCGTGGCATAGAAAATTAACTGCTAGGTTAAGCATGTGACCCACACAAGATTGCTGATTCAAACCCATATTGGCAGGTAAAATTGTAATCAGTTTACACATGCATGTCCTGACAAGTTTATACTCTAAGTAATCACAATAACCCTATTTTAACAGATGAACATTTCTTCCTGCATATGCCAAAACTATGATTTGAATATGGAATATATGAAATGGAATATGGGTGGCAGGAATGTGACTTTAACCAAGGCATTCAGCAACGCGTCTAATGATCAAGTTCCTTAAACTCATGAAATTATTGATAATTGTGGTGTGCTTGAGGCCAGAATAGTGTCAAGTGAGTTAAAAGGGAAACAGACATAAACCAATTATTCCAATCCACCTGATTTCATTCTGGAGAGTTTCTTACACTGAGTTGTACTTACCAAAGCCTGACGTGGAGCCAGTCCCCAATGACAACCCAGGCTTACTAGGTTGTCCAAACAGACCCGTGCCGGAGTTGGTTCCAAAACTCAGACCTGAGCTAGTGGTGGTGGTTTGAAACGGCTTTCCAAACAAGCCAGTTGGCTGTCAAGAAATCAGATGAACTGTGTTAAAGCAAACAACTTAACAAAGAGACTAATTATCCACATTAAACAGAAGGATCAAATCCATTTCTATTTACAACAAGCTCCATGCACAGATACACCAAGTGTTTCCCACGTGCCCCTTATTCGACTACTAATTCCTATGTACCTGTGTCTGACCAAATCCTGAAGTGCCACCAAATGTGCTACTTGTCCCAAAACCAGTGCCACTGCTGGCAGGTGTCGACCCAAATAAACCCATGCTCTGGGTGGTGCTTGTTTGGCCAAAGAGGCCCTGTCAAGAAAATGGAATAGGTAAGGTGTTTGTTACAATGGGGATGCAGATGGTTGTGCACTCTCTATAACTTACAATTGTTATTTGTGATGTTAAAAGCTACATGAACACTGGGCCAAACATAAAAATCATGATGAAAATACAGTCAGGTATATACTGACATGACTGCACATTTGCAACACTATTGTGAGGTGTTTTGGTGGTCAAAAGTTACAATCCTGCTCCGGAGATTCATTCCCAATTCAAATAGATTGTAAGTTGCCCCTAATTTGTTCTTGAACACTGGCTCCTTTAACCCCTTCGTGCCAGGACGCGGATAGAGCCGCCGTAAAAATTGAGATCCTCAGCCCGCTTTTCAGCTATTATTCTCGGCCCACGCTCGAGCAAACAGGGTGAAAGAAGGCAGACCCTGGCTCTTGTATACATGGTAATTGGTCTTTGTGCGTAGCCCAGAAATGAAAAGACCGAATTTGCATCATAATCACCAGCTTCACAATAGTCCCAACTTTGAAAAGAGGCAACGTGAATGTGGAAGCTTGAGTAGAGCCGCATGCCACCGAACAATCAGCCTTTTCACCGTGTAATTCAAAGCGTACAGAGCACGCAGGGCCACAAACCAAGAATCTGCGGTTTGGCAGGTAGCCTTCGTGGCCAAGCGAGGCTAGAATTCTTGGAGTCGGCTTTCGGGAAGAAATTCCAGTCGTCAAGGGGTTAAGAGGGGATATCTCTTGGTGTTTTACTAACTTTGCTGGCAGTTTGACCAAATGCCGAGGTGGACTTTTCCCCAAAGCCAAATCCAGTGCTCGCTGTTGCTCCAAAGCCTGTCTTCTGACCAAACAAACCTCCACTTTGCTGTGTCTGCTGTCCACTAAACAGACCACCACTGGACGTACCAAACCCAGCTGCAAAACATTTTTGAGAATAAAAATTATAGCAATGGTTACAAAGACAAGATTCAAGCTTTTTGACCTTAAAAATCTTACAGCCTTTTCAAATGTAACATGCTAAAATGCAGAAGGTATTACAAAAGCACAAACCTTTTGTTTTACTGTTTCATAACAAAAAGGCAAACTGTCACGTTTGTACCAAGACTTCTTCTACAACTTTGATGGCTATGTAGACTATGGCTCCATGGAAATGAAACATTCCCAACAATGCCAGTATCTTTCTTATCAGCAAACACTGCATAGGGTATTTATGACATAAGTATCAGTAAAAAAAAAATATTACACGACATATGACACCCAGGTGGGTTACTGCTCTTGCTGAGAATGGCTTTATTGCCACAGGCAAATTGGACTACTTGTTGCAGTGACACCTGACACTGACTTTAAAACTATTACTTACATTGTGTTCCTGCGCCAAACGGTGGCTTGTTCTGACCAAAGGTAAATCCACCACCTGATGAAGTCGTTGACTGGCCAAACAATCCTCCAGCCTTATTGTCCACTTGGGTCAGTCCTTGACCGAGCAGAGCAGAGCCAGTTGGTCCTTTCCGATTGGCAACATAGTCCTCAGCACGCAACTCCTAGAATGTTTAAAACAGAAATATTACAGGTGAAAAAAAAAGAAAATAAAATATATTTTTCAGTAGTACTCAAAAACAAGTAACAAACTTGAAGTGAAATGTTACCCACCTCAAAACTTTTGTTTTCATATTCCTTCATTGCCGTGATGACCTGATGTCTTGTATTGACGTTTGTTGACACTCCGCTTTTAACCATTGTATCCGTGCTGGTAACAGGCTGAAAGAGAAAAACAGATACATTATCCAAGGAAAGTCATGCCTAATGTGAGAAGTTTTCAAAATAACTCATTTTGAAGGCCAAAATTTACAGAACAAAACATTCTATGTTTGATTCAGGTCACACTAGCCCTTGTTTTGACCTGCGTATTTTACAAACTTTCACCACTTATGCATTATATTAACTAAACTTTGTGAAAGAATGGTTAACTTTAATTGTCCCTTCTTACAGTTTGGTATTTACAAAATGGGCCTTGTGGGACCAGCTGATTTACAGGTTGCTAAGCAATGAATAGAAAGGTTAAAATGCCAGGTACAAGCCCTGGATCTCTTCTATTTGTGATCATTCTCATAACATATGACATACTTTTAATTCCTTCTTTAATTCTATCCTTTAGTATGGAGAATATGGAGAATGAAGTCCTTTCTGCCAATGCATTAAATCTAAATATTCACTTCCAATTTCCACAAAGATAGTGGATTACTGTCCACCGTAAGAGATATACTGATGACAAAATAACGAAATGGGTGAAGGTTGAATTCCAAAATGATTCAAGTTCCACACAGAAAGCTCCAACTATTTCTTTGAGGAAAGTTTGCATTTCTAACTCTTGAGCAAGTATTGTAGTTATATTAAAATCTGTTGTATAATGCAAGCAGGATGATGTGATGACCGTCCATACACGTACATTACTAACACTGTACTCATCTTTTGATGAATACGTCCCAGAGGTGCAACACACACCAACAACCAACTTACATCTGCTGTCAAAAGCTGTTACGAGTTTTTAATTAGATGACTTGTTTGTACGTACATGAACATGTGGATATGTTCATGTCATGAGATATATTCATGTCATGAGAAATATTCATGTCATGAGATATATTCATGTCATGAGAAATATTCATGTCATGAGATATATTCATGTCATGAGATATATTCATGTCATGAGATATATTCATGTCATGAGATATATTCATGTCATGAGATATATTCGTGTCATGAGATATATTCGTGTCATGAGATATATTCAACTCCTACATGTATAACTGCACTGGAAATAAAGCTCTTTCGAAATGTGCCATACACCTAAATTACTATTAAAAAGAATTAAAAATGGTGATAACTTACATTGAATTTGACAGTGGTGCCATTTTGAGCTGTGCTCCCAAATAATCCTCCTGACCCAGCCCCAAACAGTCCGCTTGATGTCCCTGCTGCAGCTGTTTGGCCAAAGGGTGTTGTTGACGTGGTTGTCTGACCAAAGAGACCAGTGGAGGCAGTCGCTCCAAAAGCTGCCAAGACAACAGGTAAAAGAAAAATGACAAACCTGTCACTGATAAAGTCAAGACTGGTCTTCAAAAGGTAATTCCCTTGGGTGGGCTAAAACCACAACCTCCCATTTAAGGGTAGAGATATCTAGGTAATTTTATCATTGTGTGAAGGACTAAATTCTCTAATACAGCCTGGAGAGCAAACACAATGAAGTTTGGGTGAATTTTCTTTAACCCTAACACTCCCAAATCCTCCAATTTCAATACGATTTTACATACACCCTAGGGGGTTAGGGTTAAAAAGGGAGACAGTGAAACCTCAAAACTTTCCCATTTCTGTCTCACAACATTCTTATACATATACTAGTATATAAATTCCCTTTTTTTTTCATTATTTGTATTGTTCACAGAAATACTATCCATGTTTTCTTTTATACTCATGCTGTGAAGAAACTACACCCTACAAAAGAGTGAAACTTTAACATTTGATGAAATGATTTGCTTATATTGAAACATCCTTCATGTCTTTCAACTCCTCATGGAATGAGTAATCAATGGACACTCTCTCTTTATTTCCTTTTCTTCCCACAACCCACTGGCAAGATATCCGCCAATTTACATAGAAATGGACAAGATCAACAATAGCCTGTAAACTACTGCTTTCCCTCCTGAGGGCGTCTTTGATGGATTCAACCTTCCTCCACTAACGAGGAACTCAGTCTTTATTCTGGACCTGCCAACAGTTTGGAAACAGCAGTAAGGATCTGAACAAAAAATTCATCATGGCCCCAAATCTTTATTTATGACTTTCCAAGTCCTTCAAACAGCAGGGCGGGAAATTGCGGGAATGCTTTCTTATGCAAGTAAAGAGGACAGTCCAAAGAAACAAAACTACCCACAGCTGATATGTGCATGACAAATGTTGCATCAAACATGACAGGGCAAACAAACTGCAGCTTGGCACCCCCTGGCTAATATCGTGGTAACATGGGCGATGAGTCAATGAGCAGTGCTGAGTTTAAAGGAGGGGGTTACACATCTGTGTCTATGCCGGGTGCATGTACATGCACTCTCTACAGCTCATCCATCGACAGACTGACTTGGCTAGGGGCTCTTGGCTTGACAGTTGGTAAGTCAGCACTATATCACGCTCTGTCATCATCCCCCAGGAAAAGAGCCCCTACAAGTGACTAGTATGCCAGTTAATGCCACGCAAGAACAACAACTGCCTTCCAAAACAAGTTTGGGTTGCTGTGGAAACGCCTTCCTGAAGTCTGTACTCTCATTGTTAGACACTGCCATTTCATATAAAGTGTACTATCTTGAGATTTTTCTGCAAGTACATTCCATCAAAAATTTTTGCCTAGTCATCAATATTAGACCTTCCTGAAAATGTCAAGAAACCATTTTGTCTCCCTACAATGGGATTCTGGCTTGCCTCTTTTGTCTCTTACACTGTAGATATGCAGAATTACAGAAGTGCAGTCTCATCCGACACGTACATGTATGTGTATCCATGTTCATTGAGCCTTCTGAAACAACAGAGCTATTTTACTACATACAGATATTTCTTGAGGAGTAAACAGTCATTAGGAGCACTTACTGAAAACAACATTAGCATACAATAAGCATACAGCCTTGATTAGTTGCAAGTTTTACCCTGAAGTAATGGACCACTGCAGTCCTCCCATTCGCACCTGCTTTTACAGATGCATTTCAAGCTCGTTAATTATCATCGGATATCTTTAGGTACATGTAACACTCAATATGTCTTTTACACAGATCAAACAGATATCCACACAACATATCACAGAGCTTCAATTTCATTCTCTGCAAGCCTTTTTGAACATGGTGAATCACAGCTTATTCATCATTAAAATGGGACACCTGCTGATCACTCACGTGGCTTGTCTGGGTAAAAGGGGACGGCAGGAGATTACTAAGGTTTCAGCTTTCAAGCTATGATTTGGCTAATTTTTTTTTTCACTTGATTTGGTAGGACTACTTTTTGCCCAAACCAAGTCAGTGGCCTTAGGGATTCAGGTTTGATGTTTTTAACATGACAGCTTGTGACTGGGAGCTTTAGGTAACCGATACAAAATGTCACCGCAAGTGCACTTTTTGTCTATGAGACCTGGGAGGGTCTGAGCAACCTATTAATTTACTGCCAACAAAAAAATTGAAATAGTTAATGTAGTCCATACATTTTAAAATGCTGAAATAAAGTGTTTCAAATGGTAAATACACTGCAATAAGTTCACACTAAAGAGTTGAGATGACTGATTTCCTGATGTTCGAAGTAAGGGTGTGATATCCAATATTTTACACTTGGTACATGCAGTTTTTGTTTTGATCCAAGTTGGGACTTTTTGGAGGCAGAGTTGCAACTCATCTGAACCTACAAAAAATTAGCAGCATCCAGCTACAGACTGCTTTTAAAAGCAACAATGGCTACAGACATGCTGCATGTTATAGGAAGCGAGACAAAAATAAGAAATGATTTCTAGATTTGATAACCAATGCTAAGGTGAACGTCACCAAGTTATGACTGGCAGGATATTGGCACATTATAAATGTCCATATACATTACTGACATTCACTTAACATTAAACAGCCTCCAGTCCTGAGACTTACCCCCCCCTCCTGTTCAATATCTGACATACATTCTGCGAACTTCTAAACTGCACCAAGAAGTAAATGGCAGCTCAAGTGTAAAAATAGGCACCATGCGAAAAAAATTCTCAGGTTTCGAGGACATTCACCCTTCACAAATTTGACAAGGAGGAAATCTCAGCAACAAGGTCCATCGATAAGTACAAATTTGGACACTAATGTAGCCTGATCGTGGTATGGTCACTTAGTCATGCAGGAGGAAGGGACACACCTCCCCCCCCAAAATGAGTCCAACTTCGCCCAAATTACAGCTCATGTCCATGACTCTTCATCTTGAAGTACCAATTTTTGGATTAACTAAGTCAGAAAAGTTCTGAAGAACATGTTGTTACACATAGAAACCAGAACAAAAGCAAAAAAAGCAAAAGATGGAGGGATATACCAGTAAATGACTTTTGAAAATACCACAGAAGAGCCAGTGATAAACACTAATTAATTACCAACAAATACAATCCTTGCTCTCACAAGAATATAACCTTCTACAGCGCAGCAAATATGTACAAAGTCCTTTTTTACAATGCGCAGGTATTTTTATGAAACGGCAGAAATATTGGTGCAAAGGTTCCAGATTGTCTGCACGTCATTATCTATTTGCCATATGGGCTGGCTGGTCCTCATTATCTGTTAATTGAAAGTCCCTGTTTACAACATATTCCAAGTCCAGATGCAACCAAAGATTTGAAAAGGGCGATATAGTTGTCCCTGCCTGGCAGGTTGGTTGATGACAAACTGAAACCCTACCTGGTACTGTAGACCCAGGAAAGTAGCGACCCATAGCAAAAATAGGCCACAGTGACATGTCCACCATCTTGGAAATATTCCGTATCAGCAAGAACAAACAAATAAGTTGATAACCAAGTGAGGGCCTTGCACTGCTGTACCAGACGCTGTAGCTTGTCCTGGTATTGGATTGACTTGCAGAAACCAACTAATAACTCCAGCTAGTTTTCTGTTGTGGTACATTAAGTCATCAATGCTGGGATACGTCACCATCATCCCTCACTGAACAAAATGGCTGTTTCTGAAGAATGTGGCAGTGCCAAATGATTAAGTGCCAACATTTCAGTACAAGCCAAGCTAGTCACATGTCTTCAACCAATCGGGAGGAGGTGAGGGCAGAAAGTGTGTGAGAGGGGGAGGGGGAGAAAGGAGACAGGGGAGAGTGAGGTGACTCACCTGTCTTTGACACCAGAGGCAGGTCTCAGCAGTACCTGCCCCAACCCTAAGGGCAGGCTGCTCACTCATTGTTTCTCAGCTGAAAAACACCAAATGGTCTGATCAGATTTCAATCATGATTCCAACATACTGATCTAATCATGCGCAAGGCCATCATGAAAGAAACATCACATTGGGGGGTGGCAGGGCCCTAGTAGAAAGACTGGGCAGGATGAAAGGGGGGGTGAAAAGTTCATTTGATGACTGATAACGTGGCAGGATATTACAGGGGGACAGGTCCTTTGAGGTGTACCCAACACAGCCACGTGTCTAATGTTAAATTTCACAAGCTGCTGTGACTCCTGTCCCCTTCTCAACAGGCCAGCTTGTTGAAGGGTGACATCCTAAATGACAGCAGGAAATCAGTTGTCTGCTTCATGTCGCCATAGGAATAGCCAATCACATGCGCCCTCCCCTATGTCTTCTTACAATCAAGCTGTTGAGTTATGCTATAAGCTTCTTACCCTAAACTACCCACTTTATGGGCTAACACTAATGGTTAACATCCTACATTCAACTGGCAGAATTAAAGAAGAACTACTCCTGTGATTTCCCAGTCGGGTCCTGTAACAAACAGCTATGGGCATAAGTTGATGTGGTTGTGTTTCCACTAGTTAACTGAAATTGATACATTATCCCTTACCGCCAAGCATATTGTTTGGCTTACAGTACTCAGTACTACAAAATACTAGGTAGTAGCCTGAGCCTGACGGACCTAGTGCTACAAATTACTACTTCTGGCTAGGTTCCTTCCGTGGTTACTTGTACAGAGAACAATAAAGCCATGCATTCATAGAGCCATAGCACTGTATGGTACATTTTCTTTTCTATTGTATCTTATGGCTTCAGAGAACAATAAAGTCATCTCCTCTTACGAGCGACAGGACTGAATACTACATTTTACTACAACTAGTAATTCGTAGTACTATGTAGGGTTAGGGTTAAAAGAGTTTTGTGAAGCGCAGTGATACATGATCAGTGATGGTATCACTCACAGATGCCTACATGGAGTGGCTGCCCCAGCATAAACCCAGCGATTGTAAGACGGAAAAAGCACTTCACATGACTTTAAAAAAATGACTAGTGACATTGGAATAAAGATGCAAAAGCAGAAAGACACATACACAGGGAAGAAAATCTGAAATCTCTCTGAAATTTTTGATCTCGAACTTTCCAATGACTGCATGTTGTCAAAGTTCTGTCAATGGAGAAGACATTGACTCCTGGCACTCCCATGTCCTTCACACCATTTTCGGTAATAGGAACCAACATTGTTGCTGATGTGAGAGACAAACACGGACTGGTTCCCTTTTTGGTTGTGCACGTGCAAATATGATTCTACATAAAACAAACCATATACCACACTATAATCAAAGCGCTAGCGTGTCATGTGTATCCACACATGGTGCACTATCACTTGGAGGTTTGCGTGTCCTTAAAAGAGAACTCGAAAACATTTGAGTTTGATCAACCATGGATCAACTTTTCCTTTTCAAAGAATAATCTACTGAATTATGCTCAAGGAATTCCATTGAACTGAAGCACATTTTGGTACCTTTTTTAACATGGCTTTGACTTGAAAATACAAGCCATGCTTGAAAATTTTGCCTGTGTTTTTTAAAAACTGGTCGTACTATCACAGCCTGCACAGCTCATTAGTTAATACACTGATCTATCTAATCCATACAATTTGTTAAAAAGGGTGGTGACAGCCAGACAGTGCTGTATGGAGAAAATTAGAATGAGGAGCCACTGACTCTTGGGGAAAGAAGTTCAGACACCAGGTCGATTTTTGTACATGCTGTACAAAATTAACAAGTTACATGTACAAAATCTGACAAAATACACAAAAATATTATTCTGTCAATTATCCACAGGACAAACAGGCTTTGGATTCCGTGCTTGTTGAATAAATAAAAAATCACAACCAATTATATGAAGAAAAAAAAAGCTAAAAGAAAAGACAAGGCATGTTTGTTCTTGATGCTTTGCGTGTTTTGAGTATTTCATACCTAGGACTGGACCGGACCCATATCACCATAGGCATACACACTCTCTATACAGCGTGCGATCGACCACAAACCAGTCGATTCGGATATCTAGTACCTGTATGAACTCGTATGTACCTACATATACATGCAAGCTACATTGCAGCTAACATCAGCTCATGCTGTGTACGTAGTAAGCTAAAGACCAAAAAAAGTGCAATCATAGAGACACGTTGCTTGATGCACTAGAAGAAAACTGGGCGGCGATTGTTCGTGAAATATGACGGACAAGGTGGGTGACTTACAGGCAGAAATCAAGGTCACCTTTGGTGATAAGAATTAAACATTTGGCAGCATGTCATCAGTTTTACCTGTGCAAATGTGACTGTTTTGGTCGCACTGTACAGCCCTACTGCCAGACTATTTGGGGTTCCATGCCCCAATTTCATTTTCTTAATTGAGGCTTCAAATATTTAGATATATCGTAAATCACAAATTTTAAAATTTTAATTTTTCAAAGTTTTATTTCAGTGCTTTCATTGTTATTCTCAGGTGCCAAAAAAAAGTTTGCTTTCAATTCAATATGGCCAACTTGTCGATAAGACCAATCGCGATACTTCAGGGAAATCCTCTGAAGGAATTAAACACTAAAAATTATCGGGGAACTCTTCTTCTTTGATAAAGCTAAGTTATTAAATGCAAGTCTTAAAATCAGGAAGTTTAAACACAAGCAGCGTAAGCACCAATTTGTCATCCAATCAGAAAGTAAATAAAATTGTCTCTGTTGTAAGTCAATGTAATCAGCAGATATATTAGAAGTCGCTGCATTCATTTCTTTCTGAAACAGTGTTCTGATCAACTTCTAATCTACTGCAATCCTTTGCAAAGGCTACATTCCACGTAGTACATTTAGAAGCAGCACTTGCCTTTAATATGAAATACCAAAATGTTGCCAATTTTCCCCCTTTCTCCCAAGTCACACATCTGCTAAGTATCTCACCGGAAGGTCTGTTTGATTTGAGCTTCATTCGGGACTCTAGTGAGTCCTAGGACCCTTCATACCTGCCACTTCCAATTTCACTTGACAGATCTTTTGACAGCACTCTCTTGGAGACCTTTAAATATGACTTGCGCATTAATACTGCTGATGTAGCAAGATTTTCACATAAAAAGGAGGCGACAGGGGCAATGGGGGATAAAGTATAATCAATCAGATAGGTAGGTAAAATAGCTAAGATTGATTACGATATGGATGACTAAGGTCATTCACATGTCAGTGAAGTACACGGATTCAATTTAACTTCTACGTTCCCTGAAAAGATTTACAGACATCTCTTGACACATGACTAACAGCTGTGAATTTTCTCATTGTGAATGTGGCCTTGAACATGTGAAGTACTAAAATCCTGACATGATCCTAGAATCTGATTGAATATGATCCACTGTTTTATATTTCTCCAATCCTGAGCTTTCTTCAGAAAGACTTAGATCATTATAACACTTGTACATCTGGGATCCAACTCAGCAACCAGCGCATGACTTTGGTTAGAGGAATCGTGTAGCTGCATGTACTCTCAAGCGTACATAAGGAATAGAGAAGTCGTTGCATGGATATGTATGAGCTCATCATTCCCTGAACCCCACTCATTCATGTCAATATTCTTACTCCAGTGCATGACCAGGTCCTGGTTCTTCACATGGAACAGTAAAACAAGTGCAGATTACTCACTACCAGGCTAATACTAATACCTGGCTAACATGTCCATCACTGCATGAATGTAAACAGACAATATCAAAATGTCCATGACCTGTATCAGCAAACTTGCAGTGCCAACAGAAGGGTTTCGCTTCATGTTTCTGTTTCTCTGACCAAGTGAGACATAGGTACTTGCAACATAGCATAACTGAAGACACGTGTAATGGGTAGCAGCTTGGATGGATATCAAGGATTACACTGCTGTTATTACCAGCAAGCTCTCACAGAGAATGTGAAATCTTCAATCTTATCTATAACAGGTACTCACAAAGGATGCACTAATTAACAATGGGAACCTTTATACAGAAATCCATGTCAGCTTTGGTGCTAGTATGAACAGAGCCATGGAAAAATACAGGTTGTACCTTGTTTCTAGCACAGCACCTGTAAAAACAGACAGACAGGCTTGTGACATGCATGAAGGCAGTACTTACGCTTAGATCCAAAGTTGCCAAATGAGGAAGAAGTTGTAGGTGTTGAGAAAAGACCAGTTGTCCCAGCATTGGAGGTGCTACTGAACAGCGTGCCTGCAGCACTGGAGGTATTGGATCCAAATCCCATGCCTGCAATGGGCCAACATTGGAACATTACAGTACTAAGAGAAAAAACAATCTCAGGCTTTCAGTCTCTTCACTTAATGCTATTAAATAACTTAAGAGAATTTGGAATTAACTAACACAAAAGAGAATTTTGATGATGTAGGTACACTTATCTTAATCTTGCTTTAATGAATGGTACTTACAAATTTGGTCCATTGGAAAACATGGCATTGCAAGAAAATGTGTGAATTCTCCTTACCTGAGGAAGATGTTTGTCCAAAGGTGCTTCCTGTGTTGCCAAACAGGCCCCCAGAAGTCCCAGTTCCAAAGAGACTGCCTGCAGGAGTCTGGGCACCAAACGTAGCTGGAGTACCAAATCCTGTTGTGCCTTGGGCCTTACTGCCAAAAGCATTGGTACCTATGTTCAGCAATCATACCAGAAACATTATCTAATGGTGGCACCATGCCTGGGGATGTGGAAATGCGGATTGTAAGAAATATGGAACTTCATGTAAGCACACTAAGACAACCAAAAGTAAGTGCAAAATATGAAAGAATTTTATGTGATAGTGTACTGATTAGTGACCTCTCACCTGCAATGATTCCTGTGATTATTTGGAAAATAATGCTGAAAAATTCACGTTTATACAGCATATAAACTTGTATACTGTACATTTGCTTTTCAACGTGACTTTATGGTGTGATGCGGGCAAACAAAATTGAAACTGATGTGAATTCACTCAATTACCTTGTTTTTTAAAAAAATGAACATTAAACACTAGTCAGTTAATGAAACAATAGACACAACTGCCCTGAACAGTGGCATTAGAGAAAGTCATGTCCATCAGTATTATGTGATGGGCATACTAAGTGTAACTCGTAATGTCTTCAAAAGGGACAGAAACGTAATCAAAGACGCACTACCAAGAACCAAGAATGTTACAGTTTCTAAAATGGTTAAAATACCGTTTCTCTTACGATAATTATCAAAAGAACTAGCCTTAAATTAAGCGGAGTACAAGCACACAAGATAAACTGCAGTCTCTGCAAAGGTTCAAGTAAATGCTGCAATAACAGTGACTATTACTGATCAGTTAACCAACCAACAAACAACCAAAGTATAAGTCTATGTCACAGAGATTCCACAAAGAGGAAAAGCTGAACGGTCTGCAATATCAATGGGGTTACAGGCCCACCCAGCAAGCTGCATTTCAATTGTGGATGGTCTTCAGAATGATGTGCTTGCAAGAATTTAAGCAGTGAATGGGTTTTAAGCACTACCCTCCCAAAAAGCATTTCAAGATTAAGTGGACAATCTGCAGCTACAAAAAGACTGAAAAAAATGAAACAAACAAACATTGTTCCAAATCATACTTGGTTTAAAGAGAGTATTCCATGTGAAGTTTTTCCTCAGGGCATGCTGTCATTTTGATGTGTTAAGTGACACAGTTTTTAAAAATTACCATGCATACTGGCCCAACATGTTCTGATTTGCAAATGTTGCGTATCTCAATGAATGGGTGCAACAGGTTTGTTGATAAGATTTATCCAGTGCTCCAAGCATGTGACCCTGACTTTCATAGATATTAATCCCTGAATGAAAATCGGGTCCAAATACATGTATGTTGTCAGAGGATAGCACACCTGGAAACTTGAATCTTTGAATGAAGTTAGGAGACTCAAAAATATGGCATACATGTATGTTGTCAAAATACACAACTTTTGACAGAGCAAAATGTAGATCTTGGTCGTTTCATATCCCTCCCCCTCCAAAAAAAAAGAGAAATGCACGAAAGAAATAAGTATTTGTAGTCCACTTTACCTTGAAATGCTCCCTTGAAGGGACATGATGGCATAATGATGGAAAATCATGGTATCTAGACAATATTTAATCCAAAGCATGGACTTACGCTGGCCAAATGGAGTAGCAGTGGGTGAAGCAAAACTACCTGCCAATGATATATCACATGACATCTCCTCATTGCTAGATTTCCCTTAATAATGTACATTAACAATGAAAACAGCTTCATCTAGATAATATTGTGTTACTCTCTGTTATTAGCTACGTTTACAAAGGCTGAAAATTCATTGAAATACGTAATATAAGCAATCAATGATATTCGGGACTTTCAAGGGGGGGTCGAATTTGTATTTCCTTACTTTTCGGCAAAGTTTAGTTTACCTGTCCCAAATGTAGAAGTTCCAAACGGTGTTTTGTTTGCACCAAACATGATCAATGCTGACAACGATACTTGTACTTGGTCACATAGATGTCATCAGCTTGGATGATGTCTGTGAGTTAGATCTGGAAGATAAACACAATAACGCATTATCATTAAGTGGCATGTACAAAAATACACCACAATGCTAACAATTAGAAATACATTACGATAAAATGTCAAAGCATCTTTTTACTCTGATGTTTCCATAAATCCAAATTAACACAAAACAATTGACCTTCCCAAGCAACAAGTCCTTGTGGCCATGCAAATACCAAGGATCTACATGTACATCTAGCTTGCAAGTTTCATTGAAATGCCAAGTTTGCAGCCTTTCTATTCACTGCAAACCTCCACAATTCAAACAGCTAACTTCTAGGATTTTGTACCCAAGCAATATGTGGCTCTCCTTATTTATGTAAATGTCAACATGTTTGATGTGAAATAAAACTTTTAAGAGATGTATCAAATCCAGGTTTTTAAGGAGTTACAAACTTGTCTTCTTGGTTTATTTCTAATACCTTTAAATTCTAACGTTGATTCTAGTCTACCGTTGAAATTACTACAGTCAGCATGTGTACCACATCAGTGCTGACTGAGAGCGCAAGAATAATATATGCTGGTTTAGAGTTTCCTTTTGTTTTGTCTTAGAGTGTTCTGCGTTGGAAATGACGGCAGAAATGAATAAGTACTCCAGTGCCCGGTTCTAATGCACAGCCCTGAACGTTAGGGGTTATTGGGCCTGTTTTCAGAAGAAATGGGACTGATTAAGGCCCATGGATCTGTATCTGAATCCTTTTATCAAGAGTTGTGTGCCCACATAACACTCACTCTTTTAGGCAATTTAATAATTTATTGGTTCATTGTTGACTGTAAGCTTTTTAAAAAGTGCGACAAATTTACAGCCAAAAATACACCTTGTCTATAGATATTTCACACAAGCTTCCAAAGGCAGATGCATAATTGTTTTTGCATACACAGGTTACAGTTGCCAGTCCCAAATAGTACTGATGGGAGAGCCCTCAGAATCATTCATGTCACTGGCATTGTCAGTTTTGTGGAATTGGTTGGTTGCTCTCCGGCAATGGTCAATTTTGCATGAAATCCCCAACTTCACTTCCCTTTTTTTGAAGCAATCTTCCACAATCGTCATATCAGGAATTAGAAAAAAAGACAATTGGCTGATGGCAGAATTATTGACAAATTGTGCACTAAGACGTGTAAGACGGACATAATGCCCAAAAATCAAGCCATCACATAAATAGACCAAGACCGCCCATCACATATACTCTAAGAATAAATTTAAGCTCCCTACCTGCTGTTGCTTTGATTTTGTATTTGGTAATGGTAGATGTGTTTAAAAAAACAGATGTTAATAAAATAATGAATACTGCAGCATTCTCCAGTTAGGATGGCTAATTTCCATAATATCTACTCCTCACTCGGACCGGCCAGCCGACCCGGTAAGCTCGGTGGTCGAGTGGTTAAGACGTCTGCACTAGTAAGCAGGAGGTCGTGGGTTCGAGTCCCATCCGAGTAAGCTTGTGACTTTTTTCGCAAGCTCTCGGACAAGCTCTGAGCATACAGTGTCTAATATATAAGTTGGGTAAGGGCAAAACCCGTTATATACAAGTGTAAATTAACATCTCCCCAACGCAAAAAAAATACATCTTGAAAATCTACTCCTCACTAAAGCCTGGCCATGTTGGCCTAACATCACTGCAATGAATTTAGGGTTCAGGTGTTTGGTTAGGCCTGGTTCATCCTTCATGTCTTTCCCCTAGCCTAAGTCAACATGGTCAAGTTCAACTTTAGTTGGATCAGGTGCTGGTCAGTAATCAGGTCCTACTAACTGTCACAATCGCTGTGGTATGCCCATGTACTACAGTAGGTTAGTGCCGTACTTGGTAGATCATGTAGATCAAGTTGAGGTTTAGGCCTGGCACTGAACAATGGAAACAGAAAACATGAACGATATTGAAGTTGAAGCGTCAAGTTTCTGTAGGGAGTCCGGCCCTTTTCAGGTTTTTGTGTTTGGCCCCCACAAATTTAGTACTATTGAGAGGGAATTTCAAAAGAAATTGAATGGTATAAAATTTAGCTCAATAGCTGTAAGTATAGTGAAGTTATGAATTTTTTTGTTATTGAAATTAGGTGTAATTAGTCCGTCACTTTTTGGGGGGTGGACACAAGTTTTCTTTTCATCAATGTATTTGAACCACATGGAGTCTTCTTCCTCATCGGTTCCACTTCCAGACATACCAGAGTTAGACAAAGATATGTAGTTAAGTCACAGAGGAAGTGTAAACAGTATCTTTTTTATGGAGAACTTTATCAATAATAAACACAGGATACATGTATAGTAAAAGTAACATGTGTGCAGTAACAGGATAGTTGAGTTAAGCTTGAAATTTTTAGTGATGTGTGAAAGATCACAGAAGAATAGTTTTGATGTGATTTTTTTATTCATCAATAAATAGCTACAAAAATAGAGGACCAAGTCTGTCAGGTGTCATTTTAAGTCTGTTCGTGTTTGATAGGGTCTTTTGATAACATTTGATTGAAACAACACATGTGGTTTATGCGTTTGTTATTTGCATCTTGTTCGGAACCAGTTTGGCATCGACTTTTTACCAAAAAACAGCTTCCTTTTCTTCCTGAAATTCTGAGCTTTGAAATAAACACCATTTCATATATGTTTCATCAACTCCTTATACATGTTTGGGGGATTTTTAACAGAAAAATGCAGATTTTTGTTACCTTTCTGTAGTCTTCACAAACCAAAACAAGGCTTGCTTGACGGTGCTTTAGTCAAATGCCTTGAGTCATACATCAAATGAAAGAGGAATGTAAGCTCTACAAGATGATGACATCATCATTCCAAACGCGATTGAGTTTCACGAGATATTTGGCTTAGAATTAGACCAGACTATGTCACAAGACAACAAAGATGGCCACACACAGTTTTTGACGCAGTGTAACTGTAACTTTCTTACATCATTTTCATCACACTTTACACCCAAAACTCGACACAAACAGACATAATAAATGGCAAAACACAAATTTCGGTTGGCGTGCCTTTAGGTTCTTTTATAACACAACTGCTTTTTAAAATATAGAATTTGATGCCCAAAAAGGGCAGAAATCATTGATTGAAAACAAACACTTTCAGTTTTACACGCTTCCAGATATACATGTACATGTAAATTGTAGAGGTGCCGTTTCGCTGGACTGCTGGAGACGTAGACACTCGTTGTTCTGAAATTTCGTGACCATTCCGGAGAGAATTTATACGGGCGGAAATTAATTTGTTGCGAAAGGATCTTCTTCTTACAAAAACAAAGGATATAGTTACCTATGGAGTCATTCAAGTGGTCAAATTGGAGTTCAAACCGCATCAATCCCGCTTGAACCAGTCTGCCATCTTTACGCACGCTTTTTATTGAAAAAGATCGTTTGCTCATGCGCGTTGAACTATGGCAGCGAAAGCTCACCAGACGGCAATTGCATGTTGCATTTGGCACTTCCGTCTTGGGTTCCACGTTTCCTGGACGAGTCGTAGGGCTTACCACGCCGACTGATGAAACTCACCCCGCCAAGTTTAATAATGTGTGACAGACTCATCGGTCAGCAAATCATGCACAGAAGCATCAACTTTCATATCTAACCAAAGTTTCACATAATGAGATGAAACGTTCATCATTAAGCAGAATCAACAACAAATGTGTGTATTATCTGTGTTACTGATACTTAGTCCAAACCTGTACCCTTTCTTGAGATAAATCGAGTCCCCCTCCATCTCTCGGCATATTGGGCTCCACCTGCTGCACTGCTAAGTCCCCCTATTTCAACAAATAGCCATATATATACACCTAATACCTGACATACAAGGGTCCCCAAATAAAATTGGCTTTCACAAGTTATCTTTGTCTATTAAAGAGCCCCACCACCACCTCACTCTTCATCCTACTGTGACTTATAACTCACTTTTACTACTTGGTTTTATCCCCTGCCCCTTGACACAAACTAAAGCAATACAAACCAACTAAATTATTGCAGTTGGTAAAATGGATTGATAGAATTAACTCATTCAAATATCACCAATATTATAGTTTTGTGGTTGGAAAAAATTCACACCAGACTATTCAGAAAAAAAAACCATCAAACAAAATGAAGCAGACTATTCAGAGATAAAGAAAATTAGAAAAATTGGACACCAAAACCTTTGATACTGGCTCCTGGCCTGCACAATTCTAAATTGTTTTGAACTTTTAATTGAATTGAGTTAAAGCTCGTTTTTAGAACGATTACTAGACAAATAAGCAGATAAATGATGGATACTACAGCCATTTGATTTTTTTAAAGTGTGCATAGTGGAACAAACTTATTTCCCAATTCCAGAACATGAAAATCAATCTTAATATCTTTTTTTAATACAACAAAAATATCCTCGTAGGCTATGCTTGATTTAAAATGATATTGAATGGGATTTTTCCTCATTTAGAGTTATTTTTACTCATTTTTTCCTCTTTATCAGACCCCAATACCTGGTCCTGAACTTTGTATGACATAGCTTGTACATGTACTCAACAACAGAGATCATCAATAACAGGACTTGATAACCTGTGAAAACATCAGTTGTGTCACAAGTTGCATGATGGTCCACAAAAAAAGTTCAAAGTCCAGTATCTTGATCATTTGGTTCACACAGTATTGTGCATAAATCAGTGCTACCATCACATGAGTTTATTTAAAGATTAGGATGAGCTGTGTACCTTTTTGCTTCTGAAATGATTTCAGGAAGTTTCTATTTCCAAATTAACTTCACAGATACATGTACGTGATTGGTGTTGTACTTAACAGAGATGAGCATCTCTTAATGGTAAGCTACTCTTTGTTAAGGGTAGTTCCTGTTTCTAGAATCCACCGAGTACAATATTGCTTGTTTTCTCACCATTTTATCAGCCAGAGCTATCACAATTATCCATTAAGAGCAGCTCAAATGGCGTCTTTTTGTAGCTGAAAAACATGGGTTAGAAGGGGCATGGCAAGCAACTTAGGCATCATCATCTTTTAGTATCATTTCTGTTCAACATCAAAATCATATAACCAGATCGGTTTCAACAAGTTGTCTCCATGCAGCTTTCCCCTATTTATACACCATAAACTCTGCTAATAAAACTTTGCTTTCAGAATGACATCAAGTATCGACATCATTCATCTGAAGTCTCTTTACCTGCTTCACCATGTCAAATGATGATGAAGCTGAGGAGACATCTCAGCCAAGAGTGTACTCATCCTCCATACCAGAAGATGACATCTTGCAAACAGACTTCAATGAAACGACTCAGTTGCTAACTGATATGAAGAAGAAGCATCGATCCATTGTTTCCGATAGTTACAATGGCAATGTCGTAAGCAACAGCACCTTCACACTTGGCTACAGTGCTGACCTGCTTACTTCAGACAAAAAGTTAGTACACCGATTCTTTGAATCATAAGCGAGGTTCTAATGAATTGCCATTATAATGTTTTATCTCTGAAGTTATCAGTATTTTTGTACACATCGTTGATTCTGATCCAGAGTTTTAATATAAGATTGTTTGTGTCTTCACATCTTATTATAAAACACTCATTAATTCACAAGTTTTAGATTAATACCATAATCTGCTTCAATATTTTGGTTTAAAAGATTTCAGCTCTTGGAAGTTTCACATCATTTGAAAAAAGCTGCTCCCTCAAACCTCAAATATGAACTCCTAAAACTTAACTTTCGGCACTCCTTCTACATTTCATCCCAATTAGGGTTACTTCCAACAACCTGCCAGCCTACAAGAGAATATGGGTTCGTCTCTCCAACAGCTCTCAAGGTGACAGAGACACAAAGGAAAGCTGCTTTGCAAAATTCACTACCAAGAAAGCAAAGTAGGTGCCGAATGAACAGACAGCTTTTGTTTCTCAAATACTTTTGAGTTGGAAAGAGGTTATCAGTCAAGTCCAGTGATGAGTTTGTGAGGTGAAAAAGGTTTACAGCCACACCATACGTTATCAAACTATGACAATTTAGTCCTTATTTCACTTTTAGCTGAGTTTACCTTTTTCAGGGTCTTCTCAAAGAAACTAAAGTGATCCTTACAAAACTGCACTATTGATTCTTTTCATCATGCCAAGAGAAAACCTAACGCACATTTTAAAGTTTAAGTCAAGATTACGAGATGAATGGAGTTACACGTAAATGTATGTTTCTTTATCTTCATCAAATCTGACTTTTTAATGTTCAAAAAAAGAAACAAATATTTCAGTGCCAAGTCTTCCATGTCTACTTTATTATTTCAGACAGCGATGGAACAACCTGAAAATTGCTCTTCTCCTCATGCTCATGATTGTGGTTGGAGTGAGTACAGGAAATGCAAACAAAATCCACCAGCTTTGTTTTTATATCACTTCCACACAGAAGACTTGACAAGACACTGTCTCTATCTCTAAGAAACTATCTGTAACTATTATTCCCATCAAGTCAATAAGAACTTTTTGATAAAAAAGTCACCGTTTTGCAGCTGTTGTTCAGGTAAGCAAAGAGCAAGAAACCCTGTCTGGAATAAAAAGTTTCAGTTACTCCTAATTTACAGTTCCTTCCATATGTTCACTTTCTTTCCCCTTGTCACTTCCTCGTGGACTTCTTGTTTCCTGTTCTCATATTGTAACAGGTTTTCTTCAGTCTTCAAGAGGAAACAGATGAAATTCGAGCCATACTTCCAACATCGCGGACAAAGAGTCACAGTATCCTTATCAAACAAAATCTAATTTGAAGAACACTGAGGCAAATTTGGTGAAAATATTGCTGAAATAAATTTAAAAAATAGTGTGTTACAATCTTTTAATTAATTTTTCAAATTGGGAACAGGAGATGAACTATTTAGGCTGCATCCTTAACCATTTGAATTCTGCAGTTCTCAACATCAGTGATATCAACGAAGCACGATTAGATGTTCTCAGACTCAGTGTGGCAGGGGCCTTTGATACTGACTTGAAGAATGAAACACAACACCTCTACTGTGCTACAGTAATCCTTGCCAGGTCGTCTGATGGACATGCAGTCAAGGAATTCAAGTACACCCTAAAAGATGATGAGGATGTAGTAAACAGTACTCAAATGGTGGAATTTACAAAAAAGATAGAGTTGCCTTGGGACAAGTACGTAAACTCCATCAGTTTTCAATAAATACAAAAACCACTCGAAAATTTCTGTGATTGAGGAGATCAGAGCAACTATATTGAAAAATTACATCATTGATCAAACTGGACTTTGCAGTTTCTCACAAGTTCTTACATCAAGATCAGCCAATTCAAAACCCCAAATTCATACCTCCATTGTGTAGAATTTAACTATTGTACATAATTGTTTCTTTCATTAGCTCTCCACAAGACGACACTTTTTACATCCTTGTTTCCACAAATACCAAGCATCACACAGTGATAACCATCCGCTATCTTGCCATGCCACATGCAGCCATGTATGATGTGATATACGCTGGGGTTATTCTTCTGGCAGTCTATGTTCTGATTGGCTTTGATGTAAGTGTTCGATCAAACTGCCAAATTGCATTATAAGGCAGACCCATTTGCCCAGATAACCACTTCTACTCAATTCTCCAAGAGATTAGTTAAATCCAGGATGGGATAGTTTATGATATAGACATTCCTTGCTAGAAATGCAAAGTTTTGAATCTTGCGACGAATGTAGCCTTGATATTGCTGATCACTGGAGCTGAATGATTTATCTACCAGAATTTTAAGAACATTTAAAATTGTTAATGGTGCTTTGACAGTTGCAGTTTGCTGAGAGAATAATTTAGATGTTAGTTAAAACTTGGTTCACAAGTTACCAGACACAAAAAATTGGTTCTCTCCCAGAAATGTTTTTCAATTTGCCCAAGGTATTTGAAAGTTTCCATTAATTTCAAGTGGTTACATTTGGAAAGATCAATCAGTTTAATGAATAACTGGTATCATTTCCTGCAGCTGGTTCACCGAACTGTGGCAGCCATGTTGGGGTCCTTTGCTGTACTGGCCACAGCGGCTGCACTGAATGAGCGACCTCCACTAGATAAAGTTATGACCTGGGTGGACTACGAAACACTGGCTCTCCTCTGGGGCATGGTGAGTAGACTTCAATGAAACATCCTATTTCAAATCTTTTTGCAATTAGAATAAGTCTGTACACATTCTACCAAGACCGCAAAAGCATCAAGTCACTCTTACTTTTTAATGAAACAACCAACAAAAATCCATCCGTCAATCCTTGCCAAACAACTCTGTGTTTATTAACTGCGGTTAAAAGCTATTACTGCACCTCCATGCAACAGATGACACTAGTAGCTATCTTCTCCGAGACCGGTTTTTTTGACTACTGTGCACTGAAGGCCTACAAGATCGCCCAGGGGAAAATCTGGATCCTTATCGGTATACTCTGTCTCTTCTCTGGTGGTATCTCATCAGTGCTGGATAATGTCACAACTGTACTGCTCTTGACTCCGGTTACTATCAGGTAAATAACCTAACAAATTATTCACACCATTAAATTTTTCTGTCATTTCTGTAAAATCTTTGTTTTGACTTGATAATTTGGGAAATATTTAATCCTGTTAACATATATTTGGGTTGTGTCATTCATGCTTTTATTTAAGCATTCACGTACAAAGACGAGAGAACATTGATAGCCTAGGTCATTATATCAAAGACACAAGATTCAAGATGAATATCAATGTGGAGAGATATTAAACCAAGGCCAAAAAAATACATAGTGTGTGAATACAAATTGCAAATCTACTAACACATGCAAAGGAAGCAATAAGAATGTTGAAGGAATTGAGTTACCGACAGAAGATACAATTAACCATTTCATTCAATAAAGTAAACAATTAGCAGAGTCACTGATCCGTTTTGCATTTGAGGAATATTACACAAGTCAGAAATGAAATGAATAGCCTTTTTGCATTTTCTATGAATTTCTGATGATGCAAATTTTAAAAAAATGGCATGCAATCCCAGAATTCCAAAAAAGGACACTTTATTAATGGACAACAATGCCTCAAATGTTTTGGCTAATCTGCAGGCTTTGCGAAGTCTTGGAACTAGACCCAAAGTATGTCCTGATTGCAGAGGTTATGTTCTCCAACATTGGTGGTACAGCAACAGCTATAGGAGATCCACCCAATGTCATTATTGTCTCTAATAAAGGAATCAAGGAAGCAGTAAGTTGAACAAGGTAGAACAGGTTAAGATTGGGTAAGATCTTAACATAATCACTGGATTGAAATCAGGACAAAATTGGTGGATTTATCACTTCAGCGGAGAACATCAGAAAATGTTAAATACCAAAACTGCTGCAAACTGCTTGCTGGCTACCATGACCTAAACATACAGATCAAAAAAAAGTTAGAGGGCCTGACATTTTGATCCTATCGTGATCTTTCTCATGGGTAAAAAGAGAGAGAGAGACATTCAGTTTTAAAAAATAAACCAAAAATGAAAGCATTCAAACAATTCATAAAAAGAAATGTGTTGTAAATTAATACCAGATGAGCAGACATGGACAGATGACGATATTGATCTCACACGTTTACAATGGAGCTCTACTTCCTTTTGGATGAACTCTGTTATGTTTATATATAATCTACTTCATTCATCACCAATATAACATTGTACTTTGGTTACACACTACTTTTCTGGGACACAACATCACTGTCCACTTTTCTCTTTGTTTTTTTAAAAAGAAACCCTGATTCATTACTCATGCACATGCATCCCGGTATCCATGGAAACACTATCATCATATCATGCTGCAGCTTGCAATCACCTAACCAGGTAAGTTGACCAATCACAGTGAAGAACCTTCAAGTAAAGGCTTCAGTTCATGAATATCTAATTGACCATTCCAACACTATTTTGCCGTGGCAGTGTTCTTCTCCTTCACTTCCCCAAATTCAAGGCTAACAAGTTCCCACAACACTTTTCGTTGATCGTTTATCATTTTTTTCAATCACTGTTGTTCATTATTACTCACACATTTTATCCTTACTTCAACAGGGTCTACCTCTACATTGATAACAATTTCATGAATTGCTTCATCAGCACAACCTTTCAGTGCTTGTTCATGTACAACATGTTATGACTGGTCATCTATCCCTCTTTTGCACAGGGCATAGACTTTGCAGAGTTCACACTGCACATGTTTATTGGTATTATATTCTGTATGCTGGCTGGTTTCCTGCTACTTTGGCTTCAGTACAGGAAGATAGAGCTGTCTGTCAAAGATCCCCCAGAGAAACGAGGTTTGTAGTAAGCTGCACCAACAGCAGTTGAAGACACTTGTAAAACCATTGTGACATACACAGAACCTGTGCTTTATGTTCTTTAACAGGGCACCTGTCTGACATGTATGTAACTGACTGAGAACATCAACAAGTGTTCCAGTATAGAATTAATCACTGCTTCTGTGGTTTTGTGCAGGTCCCAGTTGGGAAAAACCATTGGGAACAAAAGTTCATGACAGTTCATGTGTATCACAGAAAAGTTCAATGGCACACTGGATTGCAATGGACAAATTTTTGTTCAATCAGAGCCTTATAGAACTTTATTTCTGAACTCTCTGAAACTATGTAAAGAGTAAGTAAACAAAACATGGGAAAACTTAGAATATTCAGAAAGAAAAATGCCGATGCAGAAAACTACATTCCATTGTTACAGAGAAATGTTGCTTAAAGGTAGTTTGCCTTCTGGTTGGCAGAGCTTAAGCGTGAAATTGAGATATGGAAACAGACTGCAACCCGCCTTGTTGTAGCAACTAAGGAAGAAGCAACAGTCAAAAAACTGCTGTTGCAGAAGGTACATCAACTGGAGGATAGCCTGAAGAACCACATGGTCATGGTGGGGTAAGGGAACAGTACTTTACAAACAACAAGGCCAAGTCTTCAAATTACAAGTGACCGTTTTAAAAAAATGATTACATTTACAAATGTAACTTTTAAATATCTACAGAGGCACATTAGCAAGCTGTAATTGGGACACAATTTAAGAACACTGCAATAACACCAGTTTAATGAGAGTTGCCCATTTTTCTTACTTTTCAAGTTTGGTCCTGCTTTGAATATGCTTGTCTAGGGAGAGTTACTGCTACAAATGTTTTTCTTGGCTAATTTATACCAGTTTTGGTTTATTTATTGCAGGGAATTGGAATCCAGCTCAACATGGCGAGAAAATTTGAGAGAATTAGAGAAAAAGGTAACACAAAACATATCTTTTTTGTCTATAATGATTACTTCAGACAATTAAAATTTGAGATGCAAAATCAAGTTTCAAATTTTATTTTGAAGATCGGTTATGGATGGTACATTTGTTTTACAGTATCGTATTACGGACAGAAATCTGCTAATTAAGTGCAGCATTGTGTTAGTATCAGCTATCATCGCATTCTTCATCCAATCTGTGCCCAGTGTTCACTTAAATTTGGGTAAGTTAAAAAGCACACTTAAGTGATAACAAGGAGTCTGAGGTTTAAAGAGACTTTTCATGATGAACAATCTTCTTTTTTGCGTGACTGCCACACAGAAAAAGAAAACCCCAAAGCTGAAATGCAACAAAATCTTCTGAGTGTGCCAACTGTACATGACAACCCTGAAAAGTTTTGGTTTGATATTGTTTAATTACTTCATTGAATTCATGGCGTAAGATTTAACAGGTACGATGCATCTCTGGGTCTAATTTGTGATGTAATGCTTTACCAAGGTGGTTGTACGATCAATTTCAATTATACACCACTTCATTTCTTGTTTGCATTGTCAAGGTTGGACGGCTCTTTTAGCGGCAACATTTCTCTTGGTCCTGGCTGATATCAATGACATCGAGAATGTCATGCACAGGATTGAGTGGGCAACGCTAGTCTTCTTTGCAGCTTTGTTTGTACTAATGGAGGTAAATGGGCACAGATCCAGGGAAGGACACGGTGAAAACAAAGATGGAATGTTTAGATGTTAAGGAGACAGGAAGGGCTTCATATCAAAATTTGCAAATAAGTTATTACTTTTTTTCTTGCATTACAACCAAGGGTTTCTCAATGTACTGCACGGTGACTTTTCACAATTAATGAAATTTTTGTGCCAAAAATTTAAAATTTAGAACTCAATCCACAGGTTAGCATCAGATGGATTCAAACAGGAAACATGCAAGCAGAGAATAAATCTTACACGCCAGTGACCATGTGATTAAAAGTTGTAATATAATGGGATTTCAAATGCTGTTGGTTTCAGGGTGTGACCCATTTAGGATTGATTGACTTCATTGGAGGTCTGGTTTCTGCACTCATCATGGTGAGCTCTGCCTTTTTCATTTGAAAATGTTGTCGACGTTTCTTGTACTTTGAAAAAAAACAAAGAGATTGCATTTAATTAGAAAAGACTTCTGAATTCATTGTTGAATGATTTGACATAATAAAACAAACAATGGATGTTTACAATGACCATTTTTAGATAGCTGTGATTTCAAAATCTTGTACTCAAGTGGGACTCAAACACACAGCCTTCTGCATGCCAATTTGTGAAGTTTACTTACACACTCGTATGTGAAACAATGTTTTCAAAATGCTCCCATTTCAATAACTCTCCTGTGCCGAAGTTTTGACCGAATGTCCTTTATGTGAAACACTTCAATTTGTAACAGATTTTTACACATCAAAAACTTCTCCTTTTTGAGTGATTTTCAATTACCAGTTTTTGTGAAATCCTTGTGGAGACCTATACACTGTTAGAAATTCCTTGTGGAGACATATTCAACCCATTCTCCTGGGTCCCCACAAGGCACGATATATCTGTCCATGAACATGAGAACAAAGCCAAATCTCCACAAGGTACAAATTCCAGCTTTCATTAATCTTGTCTGATCAATTTGTGACATGATGGTGAAGATGAAACTTCCATTTGGTCATGAATTCCATTTAATCCTGAGTACCAGTGTAGCCTGGCAGACAGCCTGTTTTGTTTTGTTTTTTCTACACAGACTGTACCCAAGAGTGCTCAGTTAACAGTTGCAATCATACTACTGGTCTGGGTTTCAGCTCTTGCTTCAGCTTTTATTGACAACATTCCATTTACCACTGCTATGGTGAGTTGGAGTGAACAAGTGAAGCAAAACATTTTGTGCAATGTCTAAGAGATCTGCAACAGTCGTAAGGCTGTGCTCTTGCATCAGAACATAGTGATATCATAGACAACTTTCTTCCATATCTGCCACACCGACATGAGGTTTTGCAACCTGCCACAAACAGTTTATTTTCTCTTTGTATTGAAGCAACTTTTTCCTCTATGATCAAACTTCCAAGTTTGAATTCTGTTGGCTAAAGAAAACCCGTAAAAGAAAAAAACAAAACAAAACAAGGACAGTGCAATGTGTTGCTGCACATTCACTGTTGATGTGGTGATCAGTGAAATGGCATATTTGAACCGTCATTTTGCCAACCATATTAGGGCTGTGCTGAATATCCAAAATATCCGACTATTTGATCAATTATGGAATATTTGAATATTATTTTCTGAATTTGAATATTTGCATGCAAAATTCATGAAAAGGAACATGAAATTTCCTTTGTTTAAATGACAAAAATTGCACTATGGAGACTTGTTTCAAGCAGATACAAATGAAAAACGATTCAAAATGTAAATCATTCATTACACAATTTAAAAGGAACAGAAATTTTCAACAGGGCAAGGGATATTGTTCGTGTTTTAATTGTGCTGAATTATGGCTGGAGATACTCCTAGACACGAGAAGCCATTATAGTGATCATAATGTACAATTGTGTGCATTATTACAATTGATTTTGTGTATGGTTTGTTCCTCAACAATCTGCGGGTCGATACAACCGAATATTTGGATATTTCATCAAATTGAAGGTCAAATATTTGACTTTTGCATTATTCAAACTGACTCAGCCCCAAACCATATACCAAATTGTTGAATTACTAAGAAGAAAATTGATATGACAAATTTTCACTGAGAAAAGCATTTGCTCAGTACATGCTTCATGACATTGAAACTTTAGGACAAGGAGAGATGACTTCATAGTCACGGGTGTATATTCATGACAGGCATGGCTGTACCTGAAAGGTTTTGGTGAGTGTACAGTACATAGAGGCACTTAATTTGGGGGCTCACTTTTAACAGAACTTTTGAACATTTTTTATTTGCACCTGATATGATCTAGGAGAACTGTGATTTTCTTTAACCTGTTACAGTGAAACTAAGGTGTTCTTCCAAGTTGTCTAATTTCTCAATATAACTGTTTTCCTCACCCTAGATCCCTGTCATACTCAACCTGGGTAATGACCCCAATCTAGACCTGCCCCTAAAGCCATTAGTCTGGTCCCTTGCCTTTGGAGCTTGTCTTGGGGGCAACGGTACACTCATTGGTGCCTCAGCTAATGTGGTGTGTGCTGGCATAGCAGAGCAACATGGTTGCAGTTACTCATTTCGAGAATTCATGAGGTAAGTGGACATGTTAGACAACAGTATCAAAAAGGGTCTGGTCCGGCTAAATGAGGATAAAGTCCCCCTCAAAAAAATCATGCTTTGAGACTTCCAAATCACCGGACAGAAAGCTTACTATTATACAACATGCTTCTTGCAAGCCATAGATAATGGAGCAACTTCAAGAGAGTTCAAGAGATGTCAGCAGTGCCTTACGTTGTTATTCTTTTCTGTGTTGTTGTATGTCTTTCCAGGGTTGGATTTCCCATGATGCTTGTGACATCCTTTGTTGCCATGTCATATCTTCTCATTGCACACAGCTGGGCTGGTTGGAATTACTGATGAAGCAGAAGCATTACTCAATATACACAATCACATGACAGGATTTATTTTTAGGGGGAGGGATAGCAACTATCAATCTATACATAATGGTTACCAACAATCACATTAAATTCTTCAGAGTTAAGATAAATCATTCAAACAAATCAATTTTATTTTCTTAGGGTTAATAAATATTTATATAATTAAATTCACTGCATTGGAACAGTTAATATATTATGACAACTCATGGATTAGATTTGAGACATATTAATGCTCAGTTTTTCTTTGTAATAAATGCTTTCTTAAACCTTTTGTATCACTCAATTTGACATTTGAACAAGCTAAAGTATTGATATTTAATAATAATAATACCAGTATTGATATTTATAAGTTTAAAATACAGTCAAAAGTATTTCCAAACGAAGTCTTTGTTACAATGCACTATGCTTGCTGTAAATGTCAGTATTAAATGCATTTTTCTGTACTTGGGAAATATCACAGGTAGATCTTTACATTGGCTAGCATTCCCATCAAAACAGCAATGGTACATGTATCTTACTATATATCGCTTTCTTCCAAACACTGCAACCTTGCATGCAAGTTCAAGGCCCATTTGCTGTGAAGGGATACATTTCCAAAGAGATACTACAATCTGGTAATGTTACAATTGTAAATGAAACGTGGGCTTTCAGCACGCCATGTTGAGAAGTGGGAGGGAAAGCTAATAGCAAAAGCCAAGTTTGATCTGTGCAAATTGGGGGGAAAAAAACACAGCAATCTTGGTCCACCCTAAGCTCTGTAGCTACCTGGATTCCATGGTATTTCATTTACTTGTTCAACTTTACCCACAGTGTCTAGTGATAGAGATGCTGGCAAACCACTCCAAATCAAAATGAGGCATATCAACTTGAACTGTACTTTCTTGATGGATGAGCCAGGATGTGTTTCTGTTTGCTGTAAATTAACCGTATCAGTAGTCAGTAATGTATGGTGATGCATCAAACCAAAGATTGCAGGGACTATCATGGGTATTACATTGTATACTAAACAAACATTACTAGTAATAAGGGTACACAAAGTTCTTCCCAGCTACTGAACACTGACTCAGTGGTTACCATGTATATGTAGGTGAAATCTTGAATACATACAAGTTTAACATAGGTACTATTGTTGCCAAAAGACTGCGCAAATCTAATTCCACACAAAGCACTCCATTTCCTACTGAGCAACGAGTACTGAGAACACTCTTCAGATGCAACTTTATACATGTAAATTAATTTTTGGATTTTTTTTGGCCCTGCCTGACATGTATTTTAACACTGTATGCTCAGCGTATGCCTCTGAAGGCTTATGAAAAAACACAAACGTACTCGGGTGGGACTCAAACCCACAACCTCCTGCTTACTAGTGCAGACGTCTTAACCACTCGACCACCAAGCTTGCTTTATACATGGAATGCTGATTGACATCACTCAAAGAGGGTATTATTTTTACTAATGATATCATGAAGCAGTACATTACTATGGAATTCAGTACATTTTTACAAGCATAAATCATGTACTCTATATTTTATATTGGCAATATGGTATTTAACACTGTCTAAACCTTAAG